TGATGTGCGTAATTATTCACTGCGCTATGATCAGGATCGGAGTCGGCAGCATCCGGCGGGGAGAAATGCATCTTCTACCCCCGCCCCCCTCTTTAAGCGCCGGAGTAATCAGGACTACAGGAGTCTTGCGCCTCCACGCCTGCTCGTGCAGGAAATTGCAGTTTACATAGCGCTTCACGGGTCAAGTTCTCGAGGAAAATCAGGGAACTTGAAGGAGAGTCCAGAAATTGTCCTAGGTCTTGTCTTTACGACACGTTTTCATGAGATTTGTCTCCGGGTCGAATCTCGGGAACGGTACTCAGGGGGTTTTTCGCATACCGTCTCCAAGGGAAGGGGCTTTTACACTTTTTTGAGAAGTTTATGTGGGAGGATAAATTGGGGAAAATCGAGTATTTAATCGGAATGGACCACTAGACACGGCACGAATTTAAACAATCTGATACATGTTTCTTAACAAGAATTTCACGTAGAACACGATTCGATCCACGAAAATTACTGAAACCAACTCCTAACGAAGATATATATTAACGTTTTTATTTCACATCGGTTACGAGGAGTTTGAACTGCCCGCTTACAAGAAACTCAAAGCTCCACGTGAGTCATATCACGCACTACAACGGTTTCAGCCAGCCTTTCAATCGAGCAATATACATTTCCCACCATGTGTTGTGCGATCATTGAGTTTTCATGAGCGGGTGGTTTGAATTCACGCATCAAGAATCATGAAATATCTTTGTAAGGAGTTGATTTTTGTAATTTTTGTTGTGTGCATCGTGTTCTACGTGAAATTTTGGTTGAGAAACATGTATTAGAAAGCTGAAATTCGTACCTTGTCTAGTGGTTCATTAAGGTAATAATAATTGAACATGATTGTAATTAGATCGTAATTTTAACGTCATTGCGGATCGGGTAAATTTTAAGGCTGGGATTACGGCTGAAGTTTGCCCTGAAAGGCTTCACGGTGTAGAACGTTCACGAACCAACGCATGACCGATCGGTCGTTCGCGAAATACGTTGGCAATGGGAAAAGTGCAGGCTACAACCTAAAATAAAGGATGATATTTAATTGATTACATTTTGATAAAAATGTCCCATTTTTTTTTTGCCTGCACCTTCTGAAGTTATGAACGCGTTCTTAAGAATTTTTGAATAGCGCACGCATCTCGGAGCTCAGCAAGATTCGCGAGTCAAATGTGGAGAACGAGATCAGTCTCTCTTCAGAGAGATCGGTTTCTGCCGCGCGCGGGTTTGGGGAAACAACGCGATGCTTGAAGTATGCTTACAGGTTTGCAGGCGCTTACCGCGATCGTTTTTCGCGTTAAGTTAAAAGTTTTGAAAATTTTCCTCCGGAAGATGGTGTCCTTTCTCAGGGATCCGGTCACTGTTATGAACAGCGCAACTTGGGGGTGTGGACACGTGATACAACTATTTTGACTACCAATATAAGATAAGATTGCATGTTTACAAAATGATGGAGAGAGTGAACTCTTTTCGGCCGACTCGGAGACTTTAACGCAGCGTATAAAGTTTGAGCGAAACACTTGATACAAATACTTTGACTTCCAAGAAGATAAAATTGCATACCTACAAATCGAAGAAGACCACGGTATTCTAAAGCATCCTAACTTTTCGGTTCGTCAAACCCAACTTTCAATTCGCGTAACCGAACAAACCGAAAAAATTAGTGCGACCGCGTTTAATTTTTAGAAAAATTCTACGATCGCGCTATTCTTCGGTGAAATTACTACGGACGCACAATTTCATGTTCGTAGACTGAATCCCTGGTCCCTCAAAACCGCGCAGGCCGAATAACTTTCTGCATCCCTAGCATTACTAGCTTAGCCACGTATTACTCTTCGTCATCATCTCTCTCACACTAAATTTGAAGGACCCGGCTCCCCTCCGATGAGTCCCGTTAGGCGTTTTTTAATTAATAAACACGGATCAAAGCACTTATTCGAAAGAAGAAGAATATAAAAAGCGCCTGCATGAATTAGCCCCCGATTTGGCGGTCGTCAGGCAACGCGGCGGTCCGGGGTTTTGAGGCGGCAGTCAGTGCTGCCATTGCCCGGAATTAATTCCAAAATCCGGAGCTTTTCGAATAATCGGAACTTTTCCAGGAATCTTCTGAATCCCCGGAATTTTCAGCTAATTGCGGAACTCCTTAGAAATTTGTGGTTCTTCGCCAGTTCGCGCATTTATGTGGTAAAATTTAGGGACTTTAAGATCAAATCTGACGATCTTTGGAACTAAATCCGGGCGTATTTCGGAATTTTTCCCCATTTTTTCTTTAAAAAAAATCGGAATCTTTCCCGGAACTTTTGCCGCGAAAGTTCCGAGAAAGTTGCGGAAGTTTCGCAAATCGGAATATGTTTCCGGAAATCGGAATCATTTCGGAATCTTTTGACGAAATAAAATGGCAGCACTGGCGGCGGTCTTGCGTCTTGCGCCCGTCGCTGTGCAGACGACAGGCGGGGCATGCGGGATACGGGAGTACGGGACAGGACAGCCTCGCCGCCGGCCCCGGCCGGGTTCAGCAACGAGAATCCGCGAATACCAATCGTCTCGCGAGCCCGCAGCGCAGTAATCTGCATTTCGCTCTAATTAACGCTTCGCTCCCCCCCAGACCCCTTCCCCCCGCAGCCTACAGCACTCTGCAAACTGCGGGCCTCCGCTTCGCGCCCGGACCGCGGCGGCGGCGGCAGCAGGCGCGGACGGCGGATGGGCCACCGATCATCCCGCCCCCCGACCCCCCCCCCGCTTTTGCCCGCATCTTCTCAATCAGTTGATGTTACAGGCTACCAAGAGACTCCTCTTAATAATGATCATCATCAACTCGGTTGTCAAGACTGCTTCTCCCGGTGGGGTTTATACGCATCGGTTCAGGGACCTGGAAATATCAGGGGAAATGCAGGGATTTTCCCGGGAAAATTAATATTTTCATCGGTGTGATTGAATGTTTGAATTGGCAAGTTTGACCCATTGAATCGGCAAGTTTGTGAAAAATTCTGGGAAAGCCTCACAATTGTATTCAACTTTCTAAAGGCAGAAAATTGTGTTTTCAAACCTTGAATTTTATATTTTTATGCACACCGAGAAAAAAAAACACAGTCATTCTACCGTTACAACGGTAGTGATGTCACACGGGATTCCACGGTAGTAGAATCGTGGATTTTGATTCTTGTAACGATGAGTACGGTGATGTGACCGTGTTCACCGTAATATTACTGTGAGGACAGACATACTATTATGAGCATGGGTATGCTGCTGTGCTCATCAATAATATTACCAAAATCCACGGTTCCATTACCGTGGAATCCCGTGTGACGTTATTACCGTGGTAACCGTCGAATAACCGTGTTTTTTTTTTCTCCGTGCAGTTTCTTGTTGCAACAAGAAACTGTAGTGTGTGTCAGTTAAATAAATAGAAACCTTGTGCATGAGATTTGCGTTTTTCATAGGTTCATTAGACTCAGTTAATTTCTAAATAGTTCCATTTAGTATGCATACGTCCAATTTTTCAATTTCGTCAAAACTTTCCTATGCTTTTAACCGCAATGGTGCGCTCTTCCAGCATGATGGTTAGAATTTTGCATTAGATATTTCTCGCCCAAAGTCTGTAACTCCAGGCTATGTGCGTATGGATCGGTCGATGTTGAAATCTAACTAGATCGTTTTCTCATGGGCTCCGGGCTCCATATAGATGCACATATTCCAGAGTCCATCAGATAATGGACTCGACAAGAATGTATGTACTCTAATCTGAGCTCCATTAGAATGCCTATATGCTATAGGGCTCATCGCAAAAAACAGACTTGTCAGGTGTCAATATGAACCGATCCAAGTAGACATCAGCGAGGAGCAATAGAGCACAGCACAACTTACGACGTGGAAAATTCAATTATCACCAACACCATCGGTAGCCAACCCAGTGCAGCCGAGCGTAATTTTTCCCCCCAGTGCCGATATTCTACTATACTTACTGCCGCGCCAAGGAAGAACGCCGTATAAACATTCTAGGGTTGCCACATTTCCTTCCATGAAATGTTTATTTTTGAGGAAGGTTATGAATATTTTTCCTTGAAATTTGCAGGAATTTTAGGTGAAATCACGAGCAAAATCATCTGAAAAATTGGAAAGAAAATATTCACAAGTTTACCAGAAAATCCATGTGTTATCAAAGAAAATTTGGCAACGCCAGAAGGTTCATACGGCGTTCTTCCTTAGCACGACGGTATAGGCTTCCCGAGGAGTGTATAGGCTTGGCGCGAGCGCGACTCAAAAAATATGAAAATATGAAAACATCCATGTCGAAAGCGACAAAATAGGCATGATACCGATAATGACTCCGCTGTGAAAGAGCGTGGAGAATCGTGTGCGCCCATTACCTAAACCAACAATGCGTCATAGAATTTTTATTTAATCAGCGTTCAGCGGTCGATTCATTCAAGGCATGAGGCGATTGATTATTGTCCAACAACACCAACAACCAACAATGAAGAGCCGAGTCTAATTTAGGAGAGGCTGCAAGTTTAGGTCCTCTGGCTCTGCCACTAGCTAGGCATCTTGGAGTAGCGCGAAGCTAACCCTGCGTCCACTTCTTCGTTTCTCGGACGAAAGAACGTAACTCCATTCCATGGTTGCAAAATTGACTGAAATAACTCGGTTTCTTACAAGAGGGCACCTGTGCCGTTTCTGTGCAAATTTTTTTCTGATTTTTTCGTTATATCTGATGAAAAATCAGTGAAATTTTTAGTTAGACATTCTAAGATTCTCCGGATTAAAATGCCATTTTGCGAGAAGAAATTTGGCAACATTGTAAATGTATTTACGTTGTTTCGTGAGGGAACTTGTCGTATCTTAAGCGCGAATCCACAAATATTGTAGTTACGCCTACAATAATATTATATCACTCTTTAATTGAGATACCAAATTCGTAGACGTGTGACCACTATTTGAATACATTTTAATTAACTTTTTCTCTCTCTCTTTTGTTCCAGATGGTTTTGTCACTTCGACGATGACAATTACGTGAATGTACCTCGGCTGGCTACACTGCTGGCCAACTATAGTCCACAAGAAGACTGGTATCTCGGAAAACCGAGCATCCGAGCCCCTTTAGTCATTTTAAATCGGGAGGATAAGAATTTCAGCAAGAACAGGGTAACTACTAAACATCAATAGTCTAATTCCATGTCAAATAGTCATCAATAGTCCAAATCTAGAATTCCACCGTCGATTTATTTTCTCGTAGTTCTAGTTTTCCATCGGTTGCGCGCCCGCCCGCCAGGCCTTCATAAAACTTGCATCGAGTTGCAAGTCATTCACGTCCAGTAGGTAACGGAGCAGTGGTCGAAAGTCACAGGCGCCAACGCGCCAAATGCGCCTAAAAAATCGGCCATGACGCCTAAGAAATGAGGGCTCTGCGCCAACGTGGCCCCTAAAAATTGCCCCCCTAAAAATCTGAATTTTCATATCAAGTCATTGATCGAAATTTTCAGCACTACAAGTGAAAGCTTTTTCTATTCTTCACGATTTCATCCTCAGTGCTTTTGTCTTCCCCAAGTTACAGCTTCTTACTAGTTCTGTTACGAAGACATCTTGCATCTAATTTTTCACTAAATGCGCCGTAATATATAGGCAGAAAGTCAATTTGGCCCCTAAAAAATCTTCAATGGCGCCTAAAAATCGGGGTTGATGCGCCACTTGACTCCTAAAACTTAGAGGTGAGTTTCGAACACTGTAACGGAAACAAAAATATCGGAGCTCCTCACAACTTTCCTCGTAGTCTAATTTCAGAGATGCGTCCGAGGATGCGTACTGCAGGTACAGTTTCAGCTCCCACTATTCATTCCGTTCCCCCTCCTTCGAATCCGTCTAAATTTCAAATAGCTTCTCACCATGAGCTCAGTTTGTGCCACCTCCCGAGTGATCAAATTCTCCGACTCATTTAATGTATGCAGCGGGGGAAGACTGGGAACAGCGGGCAGCCGGCTATTGGACGTCCTACAGAGGTGTGGGCTGCAGACCATGAGCAAGAGCAATCCTCCTTAAATTTTTCACTCTCCGTTGTCTGTCTCTGTCGGTGACCTGGGTGACTCGCGCCCATTGTTGCTGAATGGCACCTTAAATCCTCCCGCGGCCGTTAAATGTCGTGCTGCGGTTGATAAAACTTTAAATCCTTTTTTAAAAAGAACTATGGGAAACGTGGGGTCATACCAGTGCGAGGATACCGCTCATTTAAAAATAAAGTTACAAATTCATGCTGAGAGCGATTTATGAACTGGATGGAGAGAAGGCAAAGCTGGGTGTACTCAATAGGAGTTCGAATTTTGTGGTTCCTAAACTCCTCTGTTGATGCTATGTGAGACGCGCGCGTACACTGGAAAAAAAAACACATTGGATCGAGAGTCCAGACTCTTGAAAACATTGACAAGAAAAAATATTCTTGATTCAATCAGATTTAAGCTTAAATCAAGAACCCAGCCTCTTAATTTGAGTGGATTTCCTTTTGATTTAAGCTTAAATCTAATTGAATCAAGAGTATTTTTTCTTGTCAATGTTTTGAAGAGTCTGGACTCTAGATCCAATGTGTTTTTTTTTTCCAGTGTAGAGTTACCTATTCAAAAATGAAATTCAACAAGAGGGAGACCTGAAATAAATCAAAGGAAAACTTATTTGAAGAAAAGCCTTTGGAAAGTGCGCAAAAGAGCCCTTCCATAACTTTACGGGTTCTAAGTATCCCCTCCTGACACTTTTTTCATTCTAAGTTTGCACAGCCCATGAACTTTTTCCTCCATAATTGCGAATATCTTTGCATTTTGTACCTCTGAATATTCAAGTTGAATAATGGTCAGGGATAAAACCTGGAAAAGATAGTGAGTTCCAGTTTTAACCTTCTTCGTCCTGTATGTATACCCGTGCGCAATTATTTGCATTGAATGACCGCTAGGGCCGAATTAGCCGGGGTGCCGGAGTTCTGCAGCATCACAAAATCTATAGGCTGACGCCAGCCTACATTTTCTGTGGTAGCACTCCGGGCCCCCGTGGGCGATTTGTTTTTATTCCAGAACTTCCAGGCCTCTTTGCAGTCTTACAACGAATTTACAGAGGCCTTAAGACTGGAATGGAGATGTTGCATGTGTGAGGAATTTGCGATTTGACAATTGATTCTTATGTAAAAGTTCGCGAGAAACACGACAGTGCCGCTGGTTTTCCCAGAAATCAACTCCCAAACTCAAAAAAAGCGCTCAAAGTTGAGGGCGTAATGGAGGGGATATCCCACGCTATCCTGAGAGTCCATCTCTACATCAAGACAAACTCTTCATGCAAATGGGAGCAAATACATCAGCAGGGCTGCCGGGCTTTCAGTTTTAGAGTCCCCTAATAAAGTGGCAGCTCTGTCAATGTATTTGCTCCTTATCTTTGGATGGAGAGTTTGTCTTGGTGTAGAGGTGGACTCTCAGGATAGCGTGGGATATCCCCTCCATTTTCCCTCAACTTGAGAGCTTTTTTTGAGCTTAGGAGTTGATTTTAGAGAAAACCAGTGGTACCATCGTGTTTTTCACGAACTTTTACATCAAAATCGTCAAATCGTAAATTCCTCACACATGCAACATCTCCATTCTGGATGTCATAGGGCCCTTAAATTTTAGGATTTGGGGCCCCTAAAGGCCACCTTTCTGGCCTTAGAGCGCGAATTCAGCCCAGATGACTGCCCGTATTGCATACACAGATTAATGAAGGTACAGTTTTCGCATCCCAGGTCTCAGCAACTCGATGCGCTGTGCGGCGCACATCAAATCGCCGCAGAGACGTTGCTCCGATCGGCAATGAGCGTAAGAAATCGGCGGAGGGATGATGGAAGGGAGGTCGGAGGAGTTTTAAAGGAACAGGCATCTCATCTTATTACGTACACGAACAACTCTGACATGAATGGCGGTAGGCAGTGCAACCGAGGATCGGGCTCGGCAAAGCACTTGACCACGGTCGTATGTGCAAGGCTCGGCTCCAGCCATGACATGCAGGGCGCACTGAGCAGGAGCTGGAGCGTCTACATTCTAATTACAAGCGTATCTCCCGCTTCCCTCTCTAAATCCGAGAAAAAGCGCTCGGGAAATTGGACAGCGACGAGACGCCATTATTACTTTAATTCAGTAGCCGCTCGGCAGGGAGCGCACGGCCGCCGCCGCGGCGGTGGGAGCGATAATTTCAATGTTGATATAACTTCTGGGCGTGGTTAACGCAGTCGTCGCTCCTGTGGCCAAAGTTGCTCGCAATTCGAACTTTCGCGTCGCGTAAAACGCTCCTGAAACCACGTAGTAACAATGGGTGGGATAAGCTTATCAATGCTCCCATCCTATGTCCGTCAAAAGTTCCGGGATCCGGAACTTTTCCAATTTCTCCCACTCCATGACCGGGAAGTTCCGGGATTCTCTTTAGATGTTTTCAAAAGTTCCGAGAAAGTTCCGGAAAATGCTAAAGATCCGGAACCTTTCGAGAATTTCAAAAGTTCCGGGAAATGGGAGCTCTGAAGCTTGCAGGATCGCCTGAGAAATCAATGAAATACTTTTCTAGCCTTGCGTTCAAATCTCTTGAGTGCCGCCGCACCGCGCCGCGCCGTTTCCAATGTTTCGAACTTTTTCTCTCTTTCTGTTTATTTTCTTGCGGTTTTCAATATCCAAAGATCAATCGAAGATGGCAAGGTGAATAAAACACGAGTCTGAGTCTCGTGTTTTTCGTAGTTGCCCAGACAGGAGATAACGTAACTCAATGTAATTGTCTTATAAGAACATGACTGTGCGATCTCTGTCCAAACTTTCAATGATTTTCGCGCGTAATTGGAAGGAAAATCAGCAGAATTTTCACAATAAAATGCCCCACACTGGAAAAAAACCACATTGGATCTAAAGTCCAGACTCTTAAAAACATTGACAAGAAAAAATACTCTTGGTTCAATCAGATTTAAGCTCAAATCAAGAACCAAGCCTCTTAATTTGAGCGGATTTTCTTTTGATTTAAGCTTAAATCTGATCGAATCAAGAGTCATTTTTCTTGTCAATGTTTTCAAGAGTCTGCGGACTCTAGATCCAATACGTTTTTGTTTCCAGTGTACAGTTTTCATCCATAAAATACATGTAACGAGTGGAAATTTTACAACGTTGAATCGTAGTTGCGTCCTTTCGTCTAGGAGGCAACGATTTGGCTCGAAGTAGCTGCCGCCGTTTATAAGCCCAACCCTGGAATAGCCTCATCCCCCCCCCCCCCCCCCCCCCCCCCCCCCCCCCCNACCTTTCCCATCCGAAATGTTTTTATCATTTCAATCGTGCTCGTATTCATGTGTTAAGAAGTCGAAGATCGAGGTAGTTACGCTGATCGGTAATGCATGTGTTCCTGGCTCGAAGCACAGATAGCCGTAGCAGGTAATCGTGGCTGCTTGGAAGGTACTTTTAATGGCACTCTGCCGCACTAAAGAAGAACGACGTATGAACCTTCAAATGTTGCCAAATCTCCACTAATAAAATATTTGTTTTTAAGGAATTTCATGCTTATTTTTCCTTGAAATTTTTAGATATTTTAGTTTGAAGTGCGAACGAAATTCTCTCAAAAATCGGGAGAAAAAAAGTCTCAATTTTCCGAGTAAGTTTGGTTTTTATCCAAGGAAGTTTGACAACGCCTGAAGGCTCATCGGCGTTTTTCCCCGGCACGATCGCACTGCTGCTTCGCTTTGCAATGCAAACTAGGATCCGCGCAGGACACCTGAGGGTTTTCGATATCAGTGTGATCGGGGATACATGATCCACGAGGCACAACTTGGATCCACCACCGTCAATTTGTAAATGCAGATAAATTTGTAGACCGTTTTGTTGATTTGCCGGACGTTGGTAGCATTTCTCGCAATTAGATTGCCCGTAGAACGAAATTGAAACCGATGATAGTGACATCCAACCGTATCGTAAAGTAACTTTGCGGTAAATGTTAGCAGTAAAATGTAAGTTAGGTATGTTTCGGCTCTGGAGTACTGATACTTAATAGTAATTGAAGGTACTGAGATGGAAAACATCCCACACTGGAATAAACAGCCTCTTGGATCCCGAATCCAGACTCTTGTAAAATTTGACAAGAAAAAATTGTTAGCAGCAAAATGTAAGTTAGGTATCTTT